AGTCTGGTGATGAATGTTGGTTTTGTATGTGATGTTCTATCAGCTGAAGGACTCGGGAATTTTGCTTGTAAGTGACCAAAAATAGGTGAAGAGAAGTATCTTGATGAATTTGCGTTTGGTGTATGATGTTGTACGAGCTGAGGGAGTATGTAGTTTTGCTTGTAGGTGAGCAAAATAGGTGAAGAGAAATCTAATGGTGAATGTTCGTTTGGTATATGATGTTGTTTGAGCTGAGGGACTGGTGAGCTTTGCTTGTAAGTGAGTAAAATATGTGAGAAGAAGCATTATTATTAGTTCTCGTTTGGTATGTGATGTTGTATGAACTGAGGCAGTCGGAAGCTTTGCTTGGAAGTGACCAAAATAGGTGAAAGGAAGTATCATTATGAATTTTCGTTTGCTATGTGATGTTGTTGGAGGGGAGAGTTGGAAGTTTTGCTTTTCAGATGAGCAAGATAGGTGATCGTATACGTTGTTTGTGCGACGATAATAGAAAAAATGGAGGACGTTAACTCTGTAACATTCATTTAAAGTAAAAGGAAAAGGGGTTTAGCTATGACTGACGGCATATGGTTTTGGACGCCGTGTACGACTTTTCAGGCAGTTCGGGAAGGAGGGGTGGTGAAGGAGCAGCGAAGCCTGCCAGGGTTCTGAGTTTTGTTGTTTATTAGGTGATGATTTCTGTGGTGAACTGATTGTGTGTTGTATTTGATTTTCTGTGGAAGCGTGAGCAATTTTATTCGTAGCTTTAAGGCTTGCAGAGGAAACGAACAGTGTATGTGACTTTTATTATTTGTTGTTATTGGAAATGCGGAATGCGCGATTTTAAGGTAAGTTAGTGTGAGATGATGAAAGAATGATATCGGCACGGCCAAGCGTTACGGAATTTCATTTTTTCAACTTGTGAGATAAATATCTTCTCAATAACAAGAGAAATGCTTCTGAAATTTTGGGCATACATAAAGGTAAACTAGCTCTGTGAGCACTGAAAATTTCATGGAGTTATCACAAGCCATAGCGAAATTATTTGAAAAATATCGTTCATTACGGAATTTCAAAAAATGGACAAAATTTTTAGGGATGACTCACATTTTAGCATTTTTATACGAAACTAAGCTACTCATAAATGAACGTTCTATACAAAATTTGTTCAGTTTTTCACATACTCTTAGAATATCGTGTTGTTTTCGCCATAGGACAATCCCTTCGAGTAAGCTAACTTAAAAGGCTGAGCGTTACGGAATTTCAAATGTTATGGAATTTCACCAATTTTCTCTTTTTCCACGGAGGACAGTTTAGTGCCATTTTTATGATAATTTTACCTGTTTAATCTAACCTTTTTTGTTCCGTAACGATTAAGAATATTGTTTTATATAAATCGATTAGTTCATTTTCATCTTCTTTTCAAAATTTCATTGAAAATTCCATTCATTATTTTGACAAAAATGAAAGGTTAAAAAGTGAAAAAACAGTGAAATTTCGTAATTATTCGTGTTTTTAAACTCGTAGGAAAGAAAAATGATATTGGTTTTATATGTCAGCTGTGTAACTCGGAATACGGAACAAACTTAATAATATTTCAAGATCACACTCTCTATAACAAATTTTTTTTTCTGAATCTTACTGATCTCGAACCTTCCCCAACGAAGGGGACCGATGGCTGGCCGTGCCGATATCATCGTTGAGTACTTGTGAGAAATATTAATTGATATGTGGGTTCCACAGTTTCTCGCTTTCACATGGTGACAGATCCTTTGCTGGCTTGCAGTTTAAGTATCGTGATTACTGGGTGTGGGTGTGGGTGTGGTTGGTGTGGATGTGGGTGTGGGTGGGTGTGAGTGTGGGTGTGGGTGGGTGTGGGTGGGTGGGTGTGGGGTGTGCGTGGGTGTGAGGTGGGTGTGGGTGTGGGTGTGGGCGTGGGGGTGTGGGTGTCGGTGTGGGTGGGTGGGTGGATGTGTCTGTGGCTGTGGTTGTGGGTGGCTCATATGAGTATCAGAATTGTAGGCACACCCACACCCCAAGATCTGCTTCTTCTTTTAAGTTAGAAGCACAGAGCGGATTATAGAAATAGTTGTAGTTTTTATTCTTGAAACTTTTGTAAAATGATTAGAAATATTTTCAGAAAAAAAGTACAAAAAAGTTAGGGGAAAAATAGCGACAACGAGAATATAAAAAATTTTATTCCCCATCGTTTTTCTAAAAAAACTTTAAGCTTATATTTTAACGAAAAAGAACTTGTTTTTTCCATGAAAAAAAAAAGGAAATCACATGGACTGAACAATCCGTCCCATCCCATTTCATGTGAAGCCTGCTTTACATGCGTAATTACATTGAATGTCAAAATTATTCAGTCAGCGCCATCCTTATCTTTATTCTAAAAACGGATGAAAATATATTTGAAGATAACAATTTTTGCACATAGACTTGTAACAGGCTCCATTGAATAGAATGTTTTTAGGTCAGCCGTTTAGCTCGTTTTAGAATGGCTAAAAACAACCAACACATATAGCAGAATGGGTGAATAATGCTAACACTCGCTGTAGATTCTGATATCATGAAAGCCAAGGATCATTATTTTGTCTTAAACAGAAAAGCTATAATACTTGTATCATTTCTAGGATGCTCATTCATAGGATTTTCATGAGTTCGGCGCATGGGTTATTTAATCTCTGCGCATAATTCATGCAAGCATTCAAGCACTTGGCTATGGAAAGAAACTCATGCAGTATCTACAAATCTTGAGGTCTACACATGTAAAAACACATTCTACTAGGACAAGTTTATTTGTCAATCAAGATTTGCATAAAATAATGATTATCTCGATGAAAACTTTTTTCATGATTAGTTATGTTTGATTTAATATAACAAATTGAACAAGTCTTTTTTTTGTCAATAATGTTCAAATATCAAAACCAAATAGAAAGGATTGCATTGAAATAATTAAGATAAAAACTCGATGTAACAAATTTGAAATCAGTATTTCTAGTAAGCCAACGATGAAAATCATTATCATCTAACATTAGATTTAATTCGTTATTAGAGAATTCAATTGAAAAGTTTATTAATTTATGCCAAATACGACGATTCGTATTAATACTCTCATCGACACTAAATAATGTTTGAAAACAACGAATAAATGTAGATTTTTCAAATGGAAATAGTAATTTTAAATATTCAACATGCGGAAATTGACGAGCAAGAAGATGAATTTCTCTTTCATCATTTAAACGACATTCAACTATTAAATGACGAACAAAAGGTTGGATCATGGAATTCATTGAAGCTATACGTGAAACAAATAATCTAGATCTTTTTTTTTCATACATTTTATTTGATAAAATTCTCTTACGAGTTTGTTTTGTAAGAATTACCTTAGAAATTCGTGATGTCAATCTTGTATCAATTGATAAACATGTTCTTATTTGATAAGCACGACGAAAACGTGTCTTCAATTCAAATAATTCATTCGGTTCTGTAATCATAACATCTTTTATATATTCATCTTGCTTAACATCTGATGTAACTGATGTATTACATTGATTTTTTACAATAGGTAATTCTCGTTTATCATATTTATTTGATGGCCATGGTAATGAATAGACATGTACCCATTCACACTTTTCATCTTCATAAACAACGTAATTCATTGGCCATACAATAAAATCTTCAAATAATGTTTCATTTCCAATTCTATGTGTCATTGTATAATCAAATTGACAAAGATTTGGTAAATATTCAATTAATATTGATTCAAATTTGGGACCATGACAAAACGTTGGATCAGGTGTATCACGAATACTTAATGTTAATTTCAATAAATTTCTCATATAACCAAGAATAGATTTAATATCATCACTAATAAATCCAATACCAGCTTCCAGTAATGTAAATTTAGTTAATCGAGGATATGATGACAAACTTCGAGGGCGAAGACGAGCTACAAAATAAGATTAACATTTCGGTACTCATTATATTCTCGATGCAATTTTCTAACCCTCATTTGATAGTAGTTCCGAAGATATGAGAATTTATATTCAAGGGCTAGCACACCCTACACATTTCTCACGGAAACTTGATGGTGATTTCATAAGAATCAAGCTATAATTGGCTCGTACCTTTAGAGTAGCAACTGTCAGATTGGTGATGCAGCCGGACTCGGTCGATGAGTTTTAGAATGGAGTCTATCGTGATCAAAAACAGGTTATAAAAAGTTTATTAGAGATGATATCTGGTCACGTCACTGTTGGTCTTTTTCTTCTACGAAGTATCGGAAATTGCGTAATAAAAAGGCGACCGACTGTCCTCGGAAATCCGTCGCTATAATATTAGTATTGGGATTTTTTGACAAAAAAGACTTTCTCTAATTGAAAGAACACATCTCAAAAGCTTCGATAGATGAATCGAATACTTACAGAGTATTCGTGATCGATGTAATTGAATAGTAATTTTTTCTATATTCGGTACAAGTCCACTAAGTAATACATATAAATCATCGATAGTTTCCAAAACTAAATCAATATTCTTAAGATATTGATTAGGTATTAATGTTTTATGTAATACAAGTCCATCTGGTACATCAATGATAACTTGTTGTAAAGAAGACATTTGAATTGATTGTATTTGTATTCATATTATTAAAATAACGTTGTATTAAATACGTTACATGTTCATTACTTAATATCAATGATTGAGGTCGAAGAGGAATTTTTGAATAACTAAATAAATTTGCTAAATACATAAATCCATTATTTGTTATTCTATCAATTTTTATTTTTGTATAATAATTAGAAATAATACGATGAAGACGAAATTCAGCTCTTTCAGGAGTATAAAATGAATAAAGAACACAAACTGGTGTCAAATAACGACATATTAGAAGAACAATTTCATCTGGTAAATCAAGTAAACAAGTTACATTATGATGAACATGTTTCATTAATGATGAATCAAATTCTATAATAATCAATAGAATATTTCGTTTAAATATTTGAATAGAGAGATAATACTTACCAATATCGTTAACAACACGTTTTTGTGTCTTTACTCATCTATGAACACTTAATGTTTTTAAGTTTAACAATCGTTTATTTAATTCTCTTTATGTTAAATGAGATCTTATTGACATATTCATTCTTTATATGGATCATGGAAATAAAGACTTTTTTACCGTCGGATATGTATGCCGACCTGTTTATTATTACTTCATGAACACAACGATTGAAGATGATTGGTGAGAAATTCATGTGACGAAGAATTCAGCCATCCTAAAAGAAGTCATTTTCTACATGCTAACACACTATGAAAAATTGAACTGAAATGAACAAACTTGTCTTAATTTTTAATATCTCGAAGATAAAGAAGAATTGTTCTTCGTTTGCCTGTCATTATTAACCCTTTACCCCCCCTTGGTCGCTGGAGTGACCATTTGTAAAACGACTGCGGAAAAGAAAGGGAGCATCGGGTTAAAAAACGCTAAGCACCTTTTTTGTAGTAAACTTCATGGGCTATCCATTGGTAGAAAGACTGTTCCTTTTGATTGCTCCGTCTTTGAAATAAAGGGTCTAAAAAATCGAAAATTTTGAAAAAATGAAAAAAATTGAAATTTTTTAAGTAAAATACTTTCTACTCGCAGCCAATAGAGATCTCATGGAGTTTCTATGTGATATTAATTGATGAAGAAGTTCTTTGATAAATAAAATATATTTCAAAATTTTAGTGATAACTCAGCGAATATGACATACAAAGAAATATGATTGACCATGTAGCCACCAATTGACCTATGGGGCGAAATCAAGAGCACAGTTAATACATATATTAGATACCTCGACTCATGAGAAGTCGAAACTCTATTTATGATGAATTCAATTTGATGAGAGGTTATTAAATGGCTAAGAATAAAATTGGCTTTAATTTGAAAAAATATCTAAAAAACGCATGTATTCTTTGGTGTTCATTTTTATGGGTTTATTTCTCGTCTTTTTTCCATTATTCTAATAGCGCGAGATAGATGTTCCTTCTGTCCACTCAATATTGTGGTCAAAGAATAAAAATCAACTCTTACGGTGTAGTTCAATTTTCTTTCCCTACCCCATGATTTCTGGATAAATCAAATCGTCCTACTCTTGGAGCAGAACATTCGATGGATCAGATTATGCCATTTGCATACTAGCGAGGGTAGTACTGTATTAATAAAGTTATTTTATCAGTGGCTCTTCTGGAACCTCCATGGGGGGTAAAGGGTTAATTGTTTCATTTGCTTGTCATATTCACTTTAGTGATAACATTTATCAATTTAAAGAGTAAACTCCCTCATTTAATGTCTCAATAAAATTGTACGAATTAGAATAATTAGTTGAAAAAAAAAGCTGAGAATTCTATGATATAATGCTTGTAGAGCAATTGACACTATTCAATAAACCGTACGACGTCGATCTTGAAAATAATGGCAAATTTTCACTGTCGATCACATTTTTGTTTCATATTATTTTTATACAAGTTACTGATCCCTTACTATAAGACATAAACGACAGAATATTGATGAGAAAACTTTTTTTAGAGAAATAACAACTAGCGAATCTGTAGCAATGACACTCATATTCTAAAGAAACTGTTGTTCTGCTAGTAGAGACTTGATATGGTAGAATGCATCCATCTTTTCATCGAATATGTTTGACAAAATGAGGGTGTGCGTGTGGATGGGGTGTGGGCGTGAGTGTGTGTGTGGGATGTGGGTGTGGTGGGTGTTACTTTTCTGTTCATTAATACTCACACCCACACCCAAACCCCACACACCCAATGACAAAAACGGAATATTTAGAAAATTTTATAGAAGCTGCTCAACAGGAACACCCTCACGATTGTGACAGTGCTCTCAGTGGAGAGGTAGTTCCATCCGGTAAGCGTCATTGCCTTCACTGTAATAATCAGTGAGCAATTCGGTAAAATGAAAGCCACTCGTCATATAAAGGTTGATAGCTCGGGTGTTCGCGACGTGAACCTCCAGTTCCATCCATTCAGCGCCCCATGTGTCTCGCGCATACGCAATTATATGGTCAAGTAGTCGGCGTCCATAGCCTTTACCATGCATCTCTGGATGAATACCGATGTTGGCAAGATGTGCTCCATATCCCGTCTCTGTCAGAGATACACGTGCAACGCAATAGCCGATAAGCGCGCCCGTTTCTCCAGACTCGACTATCCAACAGTTTGCGTTCAAATCAGTCAGTGCATTCGCAAAATTTGTAGACAACCATGGGTGCACAGGCTCAACCATTTGTTCTATCCTAGCTATTTGAACAATGTCAGAGTCGAGCATGCTCCGGATATATTCCGGCGATTTTGCTGCAGTCTGGGCGCTCATGCTTTGTGTTTGGGTGTGTGAAGCTTTGGAAGTGACAATGGTGTAACTTAATGAGTAATGTGGAAGGAAGAATGTGTGCTTTCACAATAACAAGCCAAGTTTCATCATTTCTCTAGCAACTCTCTGCTCTACTTATTGATATAAGGCTGAAAAAACCCGACGGAAGTGCTTCGACGAGAATGAGAAAGTGGTGAATCATCGTTTTAAAGCTTATTCATGATTGCGGAGGCATTTGTCAGCGAGCTTGATTACTTGCGCCAACTACAACGTATTTTTTGAGAATAAAAGTTATCTACCAATCAATGGCGTAGCCAGGATTTTTTATGTAGTTGGCAATTTATCAGCTAAATTATTTTGAGTAGGTGGCAGCAATAGGAAATTATAAAATCTATGGAGCAATAATTTTTTAAAAGCTTATTCTCATTACAGAAGCCTCTATTGTTGGAAAGAAATTAGTTATCCTGTATTAAAAGATAAATTGGCTCCCTTTATTATACGTATTTCAGGAACATGTTCTTCAAATTCATATATTTGAAGATTTTATGTGTAAGTCATAATTAAGTATCAGTAAAACAAGAAATAGTATAAATAGTGTAAACAAATATCAATGAACATTAATAAGTAAAAATAATAGATACAAAAATAAAGGTTCATAATCCCAAATCAAAATGCCGTGGATGCTTTTTTGCAAATAAATCAAGAATTTTATTAGCATCGATTAATTTTTAATAAAAGAGAAAACTTACCTCGATGACCACGTAGAGCAATGTTTTGCCGTGCACATGTGATCACCACCTTGATAATTGATAGAAGTATAGATTTATTTTTTTTCAATTACTTCGACTCTATTTCGATCCAGTTGATAAACAATACTAGAAGATGGATTTTCGAACGTCCGAATGAATTCGGTGGCACGTACCATAGCCAACTTGTGATTTTTCGAATTAAGATGATTTTTAATATATTTCGAGAAATATTTTAAATGACAAAATTGAGAACATGGATAATTAACGAATAGTATGCCGGATTGACTTGAAGCCATAGGTGGAAACAGAGCGCAAGGAGAGCAATATGCTCCTTCGTAGTATGGTGAGTAGACGAGAAATGAGTGCTGATCTAACCACGAAGCCATGAATCGACGAACTGGTTCATCTTTTTCTTGTTGATTTCGAAATTTTTACTTGTTGTCAGGTCGACATGGTTTTGTAAGAAGTCGAAATTTAGTTTCGTTAGTAAGAGTAGTACGTAATGATAGTTGAAAGCCGATATCGTTTTCATGAGTACTTGGATGAGAGTCAATAGCATTTAAGTTTTGGCTCACATCCGAAGGATTGATATTGTTTGATTCTTCGAACTCATCATCAATAATTTCTGCAACTTCAAGTGTGTTAAGCTCAGACTGATCGGTTTCAGTTTGTTCAGATGAAGGTGGTGTGACGATTGTCTTTTTCGTAACAGTAACAAATGAATCACGTGATGCACGTTTTCGTTTATCGCCAGACATTGTGACATACAAGATGTTCAGTTTAAAAATGCTTGCTTAATGTATATTTATATGTCTTAGTCAACAAATGAATTGCCTTTTGTTATTCTATATTATTCAATGACACAAAATACTATTTATTTCTCTCATTTGACCGCTAATGATGATTACCTTTCTTTATTTTGACTAGTGTCACGACAATTAATCTTTTTTCTCAATATGTAGGAAAGAACCGTGACTATCTGTCTATCTTTTTTCGTCAAACATTGATCAATGTCTCTTTTATTTTTATTCCGTCAGACAATGAAGAAAGTTGATTTCATTTCTTGAATCGAAAAATTATACGAGTTAGTTTGTTTATTTACGTCGGACAATGACAAGCATTACTCCAAATATATCTTTAATTAACTCTCAATCACGAAAGTTTTTTCCGTACGGTTCTCATGTTTAGTCATATGCACATCCTGTAAATTAAATATTACCACCTGACTGCCAATACTTTCAATGGCTGAAATGAGTTTTCAAAACATTGTGGCTTACACAATCAATCGGTTTTTATTTAGATTTTGTATTTTATTTATTCACATTTTGAATCCTAACATTGCGAGAATCATGTTGCAAGATACGTTGTAAAAGCTTCCGATTTAGATTGCTAGAATCATTTCTGAAAAATACGATTTATGATTGTAGAGAGATCTTTGAGCATTCATCCACGTTTCTCTTAAGCTAATTTAAGTGTATTAGAAAGTACTTTGACAGAAAATACCATTGAATTATTATTACTGTGCTCATTCTTTAAATGGAAAAGATCGTAGATTGACTTTTGTAATCGCTTGACTAAATCTCATCAAAGAAAAATGTATTGAAAGAAAACATTGCTTAAATCTTTAAGTATACACAAGTAATAACATTGTTTGACAATAGGCAATTACCCACTTTTAAATAAAAGTAGGTGGCAATAAAATTTCGTTTAGGTGGCAATTGCCACCCTGCTGGCTACGCCACTGCTACCAATACAACGAAAATGAGTATTGTTACTATCACCAAGTCAGACAAACAGCCAAGAAAAACGCATATTAATGCGCCGAAATCTTATCAACAAAAAATTGTAAAAAGCGCACCTTTTTACGATTTTCTTTTTTTGTTACACTTTATAAATGCGTGTTATTTCGTTCAAAGCATTTACTCGTTAGAACGCATTAAAGTATTGAACGACATAAAACGCATCGATAAAGTTTAACGAAAAACAATTCGTAAATAGGTGCGCTTTTTACGATCTTGTTGTCGTTAAAATTTCGACTCATTATTATGCGTTTTGGGTGTGGGGTGTGGGTGATGTAAGTGAACAATAAACAACTGCACCCACACCTCATACCCACACCCACATCCACCTACACCCACACCCCCGATTGAGTATGTTACAGAGAAAAGAGGTAGTGCTCACTGATCTATTGTATTTCTTGATCACGCAAACGGAGAGAAAATAAGTTGTTTTGCTCTATAAGTTGGGACTGTTTCTCACTAGATGTTTATTCAAAGAAGGACTAAAATACAATAAAGAAAAGATTAACCTTGATATGAAAAAGTTTCTATTTCTTTTCATAAAAGCCTCTTGACGTTTGTACAGTGCCACGTTCACCTTTCCAACCTGTTTTCACTAGCCACTGTCGCCAATTGAGCAGATCAGGATGAATAGTTTGCAACGCAGTGAAATTCCGATTGACTTTCTCTTGTAAAAATTGCTGAAAAAAACCAATAAAATTTTCTTTTCGATCAAAATCGATATGTTCCTTTTCTCGCATTGTTTCGACGTATTTCTCAAGTGGCATATCATCGTATTTTGCTTTGATGCCGGTTACTGAAAAGCAATACAATCATCCCAAATGACGTAGAATCATCGTTTATGAAACTTACCTTCACTGAAAGTTCGAACAAGTTCATCCATTGTAATATTATCACCAGCAATGTGATAATTTTTTCCAATAGATTTGTCCGGATTTTCGAAACTGTATTTAACGAACCAAGCAATATCGTCAAGAGCCACCAGGACGATAGGTTTGTCGGCCATAGGAAAGATAAATATCAGTTGATCAGGATCAGTAGGATCTATTTTTGGAAGAAAAACTGATTGAAAATTTTCGAAATATGGAGCTGTGGTAATTATTGTCCATGGTATTTGTTGTTTTGGATCATGAGATTCAATGTATTCAGCTACAATTGCTTTGGCATCATAATGATAGCATCGATATCCACCATGATTAACCAACAATTTTTGTGTATGATCAAGTGAACTGTAGATGAAATGTTGTACATTCATTTCTTTAGCAATGTTGAATATCATCTTTCCTAGATCGATCTCATTTTGATAGCCACCACAACTCCAAATATCGGTATTACAAAACACGCCATAGACGGATGTGAACAATTTTCGTACACATTGTTCATCAGCATAATTACCTTCGATCAGTTCGACATTTGGATATGTTTTCGAAATAGTTTTTGCTTGTTCACTTTGAGTATCACGTGTTAACACATGCAATTTATAATGATTTGTTTGACTCAATGTAGCGATAATTGGACGACCCATGGCTCCAGTACCGCCGATAATTGCGATAATTTTCGTCCCACTCGACGCTGACATAGTGTTTTGCCTTAACTGATATGTGTCTATTACAACTTTTTTTTATACTTTGCTACCCAATTATTTTCGCACCATCATCGTGATATGCATTTTTTTTCTTTTCTCTTTTCGCAACGATGACTCGTCTTCTGCATTGCCTATCTCACATCTTGCTATGTAAGTATAATGGATGTGTTTATTCTACGCTTCACTACTCTTCTTCGTTCTTTATACAGAGAAGGACAATCGGAGTGTGAAACGTGACAAGAATAAATTTATGTGTCGCATAATAAATTTTGCTCCCAACATTCGCGCCATGCACCACGCAAGATCGTACAAAATTCAGAGGCAGACCGAGCCAAGACGATGGTGTTATTAAAGTGTCGGTATACCGTCCGGTGTACAACTTATGTCAAAAGAATGAGTTCACTTTTTATAACGACATCTAGCGCTTTTTTGCACGAACATTGTACATGGCATTTGGCATGAACTCAGTATTCAGGAGTTTCGTAAATTCTGGAACAACAAGAATTAATTTTTCTTATTTTGACAAAACTCATCTGAACGTTCCATATGATTTTTACGTAGATATGGGCAGGCCCAGCCTTTTTGGTTCCGGTTCCGATAAAAAAATTTTTGGTTTCGATCTCAGTGTCATCGAGATCTCGGTCCCGGGCTTAGTAAAAATTTTGCTAACAGACAATTCGACATAATTCTCTGTCAATGGCGACAAGTTCAAGGTATTTTGCTGCTATTTCGCGACCCATATAGTCACTAAAGGACATGAGCAGGACCGGCCGTTTTTTGGTCCCAGCCTCGATCCCGGTCAAAAACAAAGATTTTTGACTCTGTCCATGTCTACTTTTATTATTAATGTTACCGTCTAGCAGTAGTTTAACCGTAGCAGGCTTATATTCATTTCTTCACGAAAATGACTCACGTAAGTTCTCATCAAGTTAGTGCTAATCTGCTTTTACGTTAAGTAATACATGAGGAAATACTTGTTTACTACTTTTCATACAGTTTTTGATATAAGCCAACAATTGTGTCTTCGCATTTGCGAACATAAAATCTAAGTTCAAAATCTGTTAAATTCAATTTCAATTGTTTCTTAAATTTAATTTATTCAAATTGAAAACAACCGTAGGTCTAAAGTTTTTGTTTTTCAAATTTTTAAGAAAATTACTGATAACAATTTTAATACAACTTATACTTTCAGTTAGGTTTTTTAACTTGCTGAAATTCATAGAGTTCGCTAAAGATTGAGTTTCACTGTTTCAATTTAATAAGCTATAATTTGTAGAATGCGCTAAAATACAGTAGTGTTTTTTTTTCTTCTTAATTGACTGCAATTTGTAGAGTTCGTCAGACATAATTGTTACTGTGAATGTTATGAGCTGTGTCTGATTTGAACACATCATCTAATTGTGATTATAAAATGGAATGAAACACCGAACGTAGACAACTGATTGGAGTGCAAAAGCATTTATATACAAAAATCAAAAATACAAAAACTGATATTTTAAAAACGACGGCTTAAAAATATGGATGTTGATGAACGTCTTCTTGTGACGAACATAGCTCGATTCTTCCACATTACATTCGTAATAAATATCGAATTATCACAACAAATTATGATATAACCTCCTTAAAAATTCGGTTTGTCTTTAATTTAATTTGTTCTTAGGTCAGCCCAAATCGACGACCCTTTACTCGTGCATTAAGAGTATTAGTTTATTAATAACAAAAGAAAAATAAATCAGCTAGTACATTTCTTTTTTGACTTGCATGAAAATTCTTCGTAGCTAAGTTCAAACGAAAATCGTCGTTGAACAAATACCTGACGCCCTCTACAAATTACAGCTATTCTATTGAATTCAAAAACCTTATTTTATTAAAAGCTTACGTCCTCTATAAATTACAGCATACTTAGTTAAAATAAAATAACTTTTATTAAAATCTTTTAACACAATTTACGCTCTATATTCGTTCTCAATAATCAAATTTTATAAATTTAACTATAAATTTTGATCGTTTTACAAAAAAAGACATAAAGTTATTATCTGTAAATCAAACGAAATTTTAAATATTTTAATTTATTTAAAATTTATTTTCTTTATGTTCGCAAATGAGAGGTAGCGCACCGATCCTCATGATGAGCAAACGTATGTTGATACTATCTAACATTCGCTTTCATCGAAAAAAAGTAAATCAGGCAGCTAGGGTGTGAGTGGTGTGGGTGTGGGTGTAGGTGTGGATGTGTGGGTGTGGGTATCC